GTTGAATTTTTTCTCTTTGAATTAGCCACCCACCCTTTTTTTCCAATTTGCTTCCGTAGCCGTTGAATCATGCTTTCCCGAATTTACAAGTTTACCATGCATCAACATTTGTACTAAGTCAATATCGGTTAGACTCAATATAAACCTTTTTTTTATGAATTTGTTTTCAATATTTCATTAAATTAATGGTTTACACATATTCTATACACATCTCAGTTTATACTTGTTCTTTTTTTATCATGACTTTTCCACAAACGTTTATGGTAATGTTTTTTCTCCCGCTAAAGAGGGATAATCGCGCTTTAGCGAGATGATCTCGCTAAAGGGGATGTGTTCCCAACCTGTTTAACGAGTAAATGAATTAGAGCGTAAATATATACATTCTCACTATATTTCTAACCGTTTTACATAGAATATTGCTCTTTAAAGTTTACAACAAAAATATTGTAAAGTATAAAAACTTACTGAGCTGTGGCATTTTACACATAAAAATCGTACTGTCGGCCCCCAGGTCTTGCTCTCAACGCCGCTACAAACATCCCTGAATACCAAGATCACACAGCAGGGGAAACAGCTAGAACACACCCAAGTTCACACAGCATGGGTTATATAAAAGGCACACCCAAGATCACTAAGCATGGGTAAAGTATAACTCACGGCGTCCAGACCTCATCTGACAAACACTAGCCAACACCCAGCAGTATAAATAACTGACCAGACTAAACAAACGGGTTCGACAAGTATACGTTGATAAAAATAGCAACAAGTACAACCCAGTGACCAATAGTGCGTAAATGAAATAATCGATAACTCCTAATGCCCAAATAAAGATAACTCTTACCAATACTTTTACAATAAGCTAATATAAAACATTGACACAGTGTCACTTGTGACACAGCCATTAGTGTATTTGTGTCAAATGAGGAACTTTGTGACAGAATTAAAGAGTAGAAACCGGAAAGGAAGTGTATCATGGGGCACTGGATGATATTTTACTGGGTAAAGCAGATAAATATTATACATATTGTCAGGTAAGTCACACATTTATAAAGATAGCTGAGCATCTCTAGATACTGACTACCCTGATGTCCATTACAGATCTGAAGAATGAGCCGTACAGACGAGCAGACGCCGTACGAAGAAGTCAACGTCGCCGGAACGAAAACATGGTGCAGGCACCAAAGTCGGACGGCTATGATGAGTATTATTGAAAAGGACACACAATTCTTAAAACGGAGTCAATTCGTCAAAGCCAGGGCACCAGTCCTGTGTTTTACTGCATAAAAGACGGAACAAACACAGCTCAACTCGGCAGAGATCTTGTTCTCAAGGAAACTTATGGAGTTACCTCCCCTTGATACAGGGAACCTATAAAATACTAAACAGCATTTTTTGGTCATGACGTGTAAATACTTCATAAAACACAGGGTTGATCCCTCAAGTCTTACTTGTTACGGAGAGCACATTGTATAAAACATCACTTATTAAGGAATATACTTCATAGACAAGGGAACAATATAGATATATACAGGATAATAAGCAGGATATAGTGTAACGTTTGTATTAAAAAGAAATAGTGCAATATCAAACTGTTTTATTTACATAATATTCTTCCTGAGAGCTGAATGTATTTTGATAAACTCTTAGAGGAAGTTTTTCTTTCAAAAGCTTCAAGAAGAGAGAAAATCAATGCAATACAGTGTTGTATGGACATGTTAAGTTTTCACATGTATGATAAATTATATTTACATGATGTATAAGTGTTGTAATGGTTCTTGCCTTAAATGCAACTTCTTCCCCAGGAAAACATTAACATTTTCCACTTATTTATAAAATAACAGGATATGAATTGTCTTTGTCATATGGTACAACTTATGTAAAAATCTATATTAAGATGGAAACGAGGTCAAAGCAAATATATGACATGAAAAGTCAAGCAATAATTTGTAAAGAAATTGAAATTGGTAATTTTTATTTGCCTGTTCTAGAAATGCATCAATCTACATGTAATTCTGTACATGACAGTATCTGATTGTTATTAGAGATAGAAAGATCAGATTAGGGGAGACAACTTATATATATATATATTATACAGTGTTCAGTGAATGATGTTACGTGTTATATCAGATTTATAATATAGATGTATGCTTATGAGAGAAAGATTTAGGCTGTGTTTGTATCTGATACATGTTGTGTCAGGTATATATAATATAGCTGTGTGTTTAGTGTGGGAGGAAGATTTAGCCTGTTGTATTTGATACATGTAATTCATTCCAGTCAATGTCATTCTTTCTCATACCGTGGTATCATTATGTCAGTACTCTCTGCTCTAATTGTGTTGCCTTTAGCTGTGACTATAGATTACTTTCTGTGCCAGTTTCTGTTTTGTTGGTAGCTGAAATCTAATCAATGTCTTCCTGCATAGTGTGTAAATGTTAGCGGTGTATAAAGAACTATGTTCCGTAAAGGCTTATTTTTGCCCCTCTGAAAGTCAAAAGTTAAAAAGAATCTTGAAATGCACATGTAAAGTTTGTATAGATTGTACTCAAAAAGTCTAGATTAACAACAAATATTATGGAATGGAAGTAGAATATCAATTCTAGTTACTTTGATTTGGATTTTCTGTTCATTTTAAAGAAGTAAAGATAGACAAAATCTCTTCAATTTTAACAGCACTATTTTTAGAGCAAAAACTTGCTCAGGTACTACATGTATATCTCATATTTCATCAACATCTCATGCTACTATTGTCAAAAGAGTCTGAGCACACCTGCATTCAGAATGCACTCTCTTCCAAAATGTAGTAAAATACCCTGTTTTCTCTTAAGAACATTGAAATTATGAATTTACTGGCTTACAGTATACTTCAAGATTTTCCCGTTAGTTTTTTTTTTTTTTTGGGGGGGGGGGGTTGGGGGTTTAGGGCAGATATTGTCAATAACAAAATGCAGTACTTTCAAAATGCTTTCTTCTTTTAAGAAATTTTTACATAAGTCTTTTTTTCTTCCATTTTCTTTCCCGGAACTATTTTAATTTTGTGTAAGATTATTTTGTCTAACTATTGTTCTCTGAATTTAGAGTTAAGAGTGAGAAAAAAAATCATAAAGAAAGGGAAAATGTTTGTTATATGAATAAACATTCTTTTTATATTTAGACATTGTGTAATCAATTTTGTACCTCAAATCTAATTTTCATGTGAACTGTAACAACATATAAACATACATTTCAAGACAAAGGAAGCAAACCTGTTTGTAATATGCAGTAATCAATTTTATATTGAACATATACTTCTAATAAGTAATAAACATGTTATTATGTGTTTTATAAAATTTTTGAGTCTGATTTTTGGGTTTATATACATACAATAGTGCTCTATCCTGGGACCTTAGATGAGAAAGAAAAATACTTACATGTACCTAGGTTACATTTGTTTACTCCACATTTTATAAAGTTCAAAATTTTGAAGAAAGCATTGTTTGGTTGGTATCAGACACTGTCTCTTTTAATTATTAGAAGGGTATCATTAGTCATTTGTTTTGGAGAATTATTTTCTCTGTATTTTGTTTTATTTTATTTTGTAGGTAAATGTGTCAGCTGTTTTTCATTTGATACTGAGTAATTCCTGGATTTAACCAAAAAGAATTATTTTTGCAGTACTTCTTGAAAACTTACATGTTCAGTAAACTATATGTGCCAAAATTATATGTTCATAGCTGCTTATGTGTTTTTTTTTATTTTTGAACAAAAAAAGATCAATGGTAGGAAAAAACGTAATTTATTCTCTTGGTTTATTCCCTGAACATCTAAAACTTATATAAACAGTATAATTATTACACTCAATTAAGGGGCCCTCTGAGGGGTACAGGTAGACTTACCCGTGTTTCCTTGATTTATGTCTAAATCAGATAAATTTATTATTATTTCTAAAAGAAAACGAAAGATTTTTTTGTCTTTTTAAATATGTTAAATGCATTTAAATATATTGATATATTTTAATGTTAAAATATTAACATTTTGATTAAAAAATAAATAGAATTAAAGATTAATTATCACAACAAAATAAACTTTTTTTCTAAATAAAACAAATACTTTGAAAATTTTTTGAGTAAAAAGTATTTAAAAATTTGAATAACATTTTATAGGACTTTTTGCTAAGATTTCCCCTATATAAGTCTTTGACACAGTCTTATAAATGCAGTTAGTTTATTCATACAGTTTAAGACACAGGTAACACGGGTAAACTCTACGGTTTAAACCAACTCTACCTGTGCCCCTTAGAGGGACCCCTTAATTGAGTGTGATAATTATACTGATTATATAAGTTTTAGACGTTCAGGGAACACACCATTCTCTTATAATACCAAAAAAGATACACTAATTTCAGTTGAGTTTTAATGACTTTTTATCCTGTATTAGGAGATAGACGTCTGTGTTCAGTTGTGTGTTCTTGTGTGTGAATATATGACGTGTGCTTTCATGAGTATTAAAAGATTTCTTGTGTAACGCAAGCTTGAAAATGAACAATTATGAATATTTTATTTAATAAATACTTCAAATGAATAACTTGTTAGTGATTTCATTGTGGATGTGGCATTTGAATACGACACATGCTCGATGAATGTACATTTTGTACATGTATGTAATACCAAATCAATCCATTGCAGCATCAGTAGAAATAGATAAGATATTGGGAAGGAAATATTACTGTCTGACACAGAAAGAAATATTGTATGAAACATCTTTATGCATGAGAAGATGACCTTTTTCTTATCATTACTGTTACCATTTAAAGGAAAGTTTCGATAAAGATTATAATGAGAATGGAAAAGGAAAGCTTGCTCAGTGTTTTAGTCTCCCAATTCTTGGATTACTAAAATGACCTGTTTACAACTTGTAGGTCAATTGTTTTAATCCTAATTTGACTGAGGATATCAGTACAGAAAGCTGATAGTAGATAGGTCTGATGGAATGACTTTGATAACTCCTCATAGGATGATGTCCTACATATTGTTTTTAAAGTGATTTGCGTCATATGGCTTTTATTTACTTAATACATATCACTAGAATCAACAAAGGTATTTAACTTTTTTCACTTGTATGTTGATTAGTTGAACAACAAACAGATAATCATTTGTATCTATACACAGTCCCCAGGGTCCACTCTGTCCACAGTCTATGTAACGGAGGAACTGTCCATCCTTGTCTAGCATGTGGACACAGTGATTTTTAACATCAGCTGTAAGTATGTGACTCTGACTGTCTGTGGTGATTCCTCGTGGATTGAATGGTTGGTTCTTTGGAGAAGGGGTATGCCCAGTGTACCTGAATCTCAGTTTTCCAGCCTGATTGACCACCACTACTGCTTTAGTTCCATTGTCGGACACACAGATATCCAGGTTCCTGTTCTCAGTTATGCATCTGCTATAACGACCAGCTGAATAGAGAGGTCTGCCTTGATCATCAAACTGAATGATATGTTTCTCTGTGAAGCCAGAGTAACGGACAACTTTTGATTGTTTTTCATCATCACTTTCCAAGGTAATCAGGAGGTCACCAGATGAAGTACTACAGACATTGCGAGGTTTCCAGTTCTGTAGTCTGATCACCTCCTCTACTTTCTCACTCTTCACAATGTTCACAGTTCTATAATTGTAATCAGTATAAACTAGATCTCCGCTTTTTGTCACTGCTATGTCTATTGGTATGTTCCCTGACTTGGTTTTGATTGACTTGAGTTGTGATCCCTGATTGATGCTGAAGAGTTCCATGGTGCTGTCATCTCCAATTGTCCATATTTCTTCATCGCTCAGACAGACAACATTGGAAAGCCTTCTATGCCCAGTGTCTATGGTGGTGACAGTCTCGGGTTTATCTAGCAGATGTTTGACAGGAGGAGAGCATCCAGCTTCTGGTGATTTCTGTGTTGTCTTCATGCTATAGCCATGTTTATCTGAAGTTAAAGAACCTGATATTAAAGTTCCAAACAGTTTATCGAGTTTTTCTCCTTGAATTTTTTCTGCAATGAATTTCGGTAAAGATGGTGCTAGTTTTTGTGGAAGAGTTCTGTAAATATTTACATCAGAAGTGACACTAAATAACATTGATAAATCATTAGTGTCTAACGCCATGTCAACTGAATTGATTTCATCCTTGATATCAGATATTGTCTTGTTTATTTCATCCAGATGTTTCTGTAGAGTTTGTATCTGTGTGTTTTTCATTTCATCAACTTCAGCTGTACGTTTCTTGACAAGTTTGTCAATTTCTCTGTGCCAGTCCTCTCCATGTTTTGTTATGGCTGTTGAGAGATCTCCATATTCCTTTTCTAATTGGCTCATTCTGTTTTGTATATCAGAGGCAATGTCCTGGAAGGTTGGAAAAATTGTCTCTTTTAATTCAGTTTGTTCTTCGATGATTTTGTGTTTTTTCCTTTCCACAATCTGCAAGATTTCTGAAAACTTATGGCTCAGATGTTGATCAGATGCAATGCATTTTGTACAAACAGTAATGTCACATTGATTACAGTACATTGTACATTGCTGATTGTGATGTAATTTGCAGATAGGGTAGAGGGGAGTGGATTTTCGAAGCTTAAATGGGACAATTTCATGTTTTTTAGATTGGTCAGAGATCATGTGTTCTCCCACACAGGCCTTACACAGGTTGACAAGACATGTATCACAGTGCATCTGTACCACAGCGGTCTCACACAGGTCACAGCGCATTATGTCCTGGGCACTGGTACGGGGGTCCATAGTGAAATTTACCAATTCTGAAGTACAAAATTAGACTTAAAGGTACAGCTAAGCTGGTAACATATTAAACAAAATGCGTTTGAATTCTTTTTTTCTGAAGGATATATGACAGACATATTATATTCTATTTTGAATTTTTATATTTAAAAAATACCATATGATTAAAACATAAAAGTCCATGGTTCATGCTCCAGGTAGGGATTTTTGTCATATTTATGTTTTGCAAATGTATATCTTCTTTATTGTATACTGTTCTCTTTATACATTGATCTTCAAAATCGTTGGTAATGTTTACTACAATAATTGATTTGTTTATTTTTTCACCACAATAATTGTTTGTTTGTTTTTTTTCAAGCGTGATAGCATTGGCAAACCTAGTAAATATTATTACATTTAATGATATCTACTATAATTAAAAAATATATAAAAAGAAATACAAAAATTCTTAATTTATAGAAAAACATTACGGATTACCTGACTTCTAGGACGGTAATGGCTGCCAGTAAATAAAATGGCTGTTGTCTGTGTTCTCGTGTGTTTTGGTCACATGACCTGTTTACCTGTGTTATCTACCTGTCAGGTATTTAAACTTCCTGGTTTAAATATAGCGGATATTTAAACTTTTGTTTACTATTGCAAGCTTCCTCATATATTTTAAAAATTTGAATATACATACACGTAGTATAGTCAGTAAAAATTATAATTAAAGCAAATTTTATTTTTATTAAAACCTACCTAAATTCGCTTTAATTGTATAAATGAAATACATTGTTCGGAGATAACGAACAATAGTTCGATAATAATTGGAAGGAGAGAAACACAAACCTATAGCATATGAGAGGTGGGATCAGATGTCACGGATATGTGAGCATCCCCTGTCATTACTTTACACCCACAATTTGCTCGGCATTGGAATAGTATGAAAAAAACATTCGGCATTAACGATGGGCTGTATGGTCCGAGTTCAATCATTGTATCTACATTTTTCAATACTCTAAAAATATTTTGATATTCTTCATTTTTAAAAGCTAGCAAAACTTCTTTAGTCTAGATCATATAAAATTACTTAATGCAAAAACATATGAAACGTAACTTAAAATTGTATATCTGATACGCATGTAGTAAGGGTTCTAGTCTAACCATAACGGTGAGTACAGCAACACGGAATTCTCTAACGGCATCAACTGGTATGCCTGGAGAGGGTTCTATTACTCCATGAAGGAAGTGAGAATGATGATAAGAAAATAACGTTGACTTCGAGTCCTTTATTCACCAAAGTTGTACTTTCTGTTTGCACTTTTATATTTCAATGTTGCAAAAAAGTTGAGGATCTACTATTCATTTTCCCACAATTGCCCTGAGTGTCGAGTATAGGACAAAATTTGAAGCCCTCTATCAGCAAGTAATGGCGTCTCCATATGAGTGAATAATTTTCTAGCGTGATGTTAAACAACATACATGTACAAACAAACGAACTATTTTTGTTTCTTTGTCATTTGAGGTGAAAATCGTGAAAATCCTGATCGTGAAAGCTTACAATTTTTTTTTTGATGTCGAGCTTGAAAAAATGCTTGGTTTTCTGTTTTCGTGTCTATCTGTTGGAGTATCTGTGGGTAATTACTGTACCATCTGGTATGCAGTATCTTAATGGGTTTTGGAAACCAAGTCTTAATTCCAGCCGTCTGTCGGAGTTTCCATGGGTACACATTGTTCCCTTTATTAACAACTCTGTTTGCAGACCTGTTGTGTGTTCATGTTGAACAAAACTTGTGAGAAACTTTTAAGTGAGGAGGAAACAGTTGTTATGGCCTTCTACTCATTAAGAGTCACTAAGTGTTTCTATTTCATATTTGGATCTTTTTCTAGAAAAAAAAATTAAGAAACAAAAACATTGATGTTAACTTAGCGACGAATATAGAAAACAAAAATACAAATTCCAGAACGAAATCCAGACAATTTTGATCTTATGACCTCTATAAGCGTAATGCATTTTTGGCTCGATCCTAAGTTCTGGTATTTAAAAATATAATGGACTAAATGGTCGATATATATTCTGTATGCAATCAATACACCATGACAGAGAGATCATTTAAACGCGTCATTCCTATATATACATAACTATATTCATCAGTGTCAACGAAGAACTATAGTGTTTAGACTGTGAGTATTTGTTTACATACTTTTCAAAATATTAAAGAAGAAGGGGTATTTTGAAATAGTTACTGCTAAATAAATTTCATGAAGACTTTCTTTTGAGCCTGGTCCATATCTTTAAAAGAAGTTCTTGCTGAAACAAGCATTTGCTTACGTAGATATTTCCGTATATAAAAGGCACCTTTTTCAAGTTTCTTTTCTCAGTAATCTTTAAGCATATACTTGTATATACATATATGTATTTGTACTTTATTTTCCAAATTATTGATAGATAAGTAATCAATTTTGATAAACATGATTAACGTTAAGTTATAATGGCGCTAACCTGTTTGTTTTGTGTACCCTTGGTGCACTACGTGTGTATCATTACCAAGTGGTTTTGGCACGTCAGTCGATTCTTCTTCTTTTGTAATCCTGATGTAATAAGCTGTGATAAATATATATATATATATTTTTTAAATTTAATAAATTTAAATCTTTAAACGTTAAAGAGGAATTTTAAATGTTTTGAAAACCTAATGTTGTGAATAGAATACCATTTGGCAATTCAAACAAGGATTTAAATACTAGTAAAAGAAGCGTTCAAAATAGTGCTAGCTTAATTAACATTAATGTAAGTTTTTCTCTATATTCTTATAAACAAACATTTTTAATGCAGCATCAAAAGAAATTTAAACAGATTCTATTCCTTTCTATTCCACAGGCATAGGACTCTTCATCACATACAGTAAGATTAAGGATTCAGCGTTAAATGGTACTCTACATCAAATACAGCAAGGATTGAGCGTCACATTGGACTCCACATCTCACAGTTTTAGAATCAGAATCTCATAAGAAATTCACAGAAAGAAACAATTCATGGATGTGAGCACATGAAAATTTTGATGCAACTAGATAGTGACAAATTTTTGATTGTATGAGAAATATCACTGGATGAGAAAATAAACAAGAGGTTACGTATTGGAAAAACAGCATGTAGAAACAAACGAATAAAAATGAATTTCTGTTGAAGATGTCTAGAGCAGTTCGGCAGAGATTCATCCGAGTTCCGGGTGTAAGTGTTGTTGTACACATTTCCCACGTGACATCAGACCGAGTCTGGATCAGTGATAGAAAAAATATCGTCTTGACAAACACAACGGGCGATATACTGCATCACTTGACAGGTATTGCTAATTTATGGGGAGTTCACACTGTGAACAGGGACGGGGAGTTGATTTATATAGACATTGAGTACAACATCCACAAATTGTCGATAGAAAACAACACAAATATCACATTTATAAAGCACACAGCGCCGTGGGAAGCATGGAGTGTTTTCAGCTCCCCCTCTAATGGAGACCTGCTGGTCGGGATGCGTCACACTTACTCAAAGACAGGCAAGGTCAACCGTTACAATAATGCAGGACAACACATACAGACAATACAACACAACGACTCCGGCGAAGATTTGTATCTTCTGCCTATCTATCTCACAGAGAACCGCAATGGAGACGTTATTGTGTCGGACTGGAAACTTGG